CCCCACCTCACCCCGCCCCGCCCCCGGGTACAGCAAGTCAAAGTTGAACCGGCGACTCTCTTTCTGATGTAAAACTACCTTGCCTGCGCGTACTGCAAGTCCCACGTGCCCTCTCCTGCACAAGTACGGGCGACACGAAGACTTCCCTGCACGCTCAAAAGCAAATCCCGGCCGAACCAAAAGTTGTGCATGTGAGTGTGTGGTCTATTTTCCCCACAGGGCACCACCAGGGCAACAACTTGAATTTACACAGCAGGGTAGGGACGGGCGGTGCAACACACGCTCGCTCTACATTTCGGCACAAACTTTTGACACATCATCTTGATTTCTATACGCTCCACCACCACAAGGAGGTTGGTGGGCGCCCCCCGGGCGGGCCAGCAGCAGCAGCAGCGGAACCAGAGCGGGTATGGTGCCGGCGCCGGCTCGGCTGCGTGTTGAGCGCCGCCGCCGTGACACGCCCAGAGGTAGGGCGGGCTGCTGGTATATATACACGGGGAGCGGGAGCGGCAGCGGGAGCCAGCTCCGGCTGAGAATGAGAACAGTAAGGCATCAACAATTATCATACCCAGCCCCGCTCTGCTCCGCTCGGCGGGGCCGCAGGGCAGGCAGGCGGGGGAGCTCCGCGCGGCTCTGCCGTGTAAGCCCGGCTTAGCTCGAGTTGGGCCGCGCGCGCCGCCGCGCTCAGGTAGCCCAATGTGTACAGAGTGTTATGGCTATCGAGCAGAACGGCCCCCCTATGGCCGAGGCTAAGGCGCGCGCGCGTGCTGCGCGTCGTGTGGAATTTGAGAAAGCGCGCGCTTTTATTGGCGTGCCATACAGTGGGTTTCCCGCACCACGGGAGGCTCCACAACACACACTACAACAACAGGGCGGACCGGCAAAAAGGGCAAGGACGCCGCTGCAGAAGCGAGTCTAAAAAGTTGGCAGTGCGGCGGCGGTAAGCACGCGCCGCGCGCGCATTTTTTAAATTTTTATTTTTTTTACTTTTGAATTGTGTAATGCGGCGGCGAGCCGGGCGCGCGCGGGCGTAGCAGGAGCAAGAGGCGACTTTCCCTCTCCATTGTTCTGGAATCGAACGAAATAGATATCACTTTCCTCCTATCGACACCGACACCGACATGGACACGGTGCGCGCAGAGGCCTGCTCAGGAGAGACAGAGAGAGAGGCGGGAGCCAACGACCCCGCCGCCGCCGGGCCGAGGAAGGGCGGGCGCGCGCGCGGCGCTGCGCCCACCGCCCGACAAGGAGCAAGGTTCAAGGCTGCACCTTGCCCTCCCTCCCTGTGCTGCCCACGGAAGCCACATCCATTCAAAGCACCTCGACCATTAGCGACTGTTTCCCTTCTCGAAACAGGATTCCGCGGGAACGTCGACGGCGCTCGCGCCGCCCATGCTGCTGCTGCTGCTGCTGCTTTGCGAGTACGAGCTATTACTACTGTCAATACTGGAAACGCTGTGACAAGTTCCATTCGATGCTCTGCCTTGAAGCCTGGCGCAGTCTTCAGGAATAGCTTTTTAACGCACGTCGCACGTGCATACTGTGACATGTCGCACAACGTTCCATCAGTTACTCCAAAGAAAAGAATCCTAGAATCCTCGCCGCCAAACTCCACAGGAGAGAAACGGGCTTTAAAAAGGCGAGGAAACAAAAGGTCCCGTAGGGCCTGCGCGGCTGTTGCAAGCCCTCTATGAGCAAGTGGGTGTTTATTTTTAGTTGCCTCGCCGAACCACGCTGCCCCCCTGCAGCCCCGGTGCAGCCGCGGTGCAGCGCAGGCAACAGGATTGCAGCAGGGCCAACTGCAGCCTCTGCTGCAGGCGGGTGCAGCGCAGACAGCAGGACAGCAGGGGCAACCTGCAGGCT